GAAGAAGTAAAGAATACGAGTGGGAATTGAGACTCGGACTGAACTCGAGTTTGAGAGGGAAACTGGGGCTGAATTCAATGCAGACTAGCTACGACAGGATGCTGTATTTATACGTTTTCGAGACGAGGTATGAGTAAGAGAAATTACGAGTCAAAACGAACGCGTGTACATGAGGTTTGCAGTGAGTGTTAGCGATAAGGAGAGACCGTGAAAAGAAGACAAAAGCATCTAGGCACAGATCTAGCTGCGCGTACGGGTCGGAAGTCCAAGCGAGGTGTCGAGGCCGGAGGGACAATGAGAGACAAAGCGTATGACGCAGATGGTCGTCGATATCGATCAGGGTTGAGTCGAAGCGGGCGGGTCGAAGTGTGGCGAAAGGTGTCGAAGCGGTCGAGATGTGGCGCAGGTGGTCAGGGGCCGTCTAGGCGCGCGCACAGCGCGTCCCTTACATCCCCTCACAACTCTTGAAATGTCGAGTCCGCTCGACATTTGGAGGTGCCTAGAACTGGTCGGATTCGTCTGCATTGGCAGTAGCGAGGTCTTCGGGATCAACGAACTGGGTGACTTGAATTTCGCGAGACGAGCGAGCGTGATACGGAATGAGGCGAAACGCGGCGAACTTGAGCTTGGAGAGGGTGCCGTCGACTTCGGCGAGACGATAAGAGCCGTTGCGAGAGCGCGAGACAACAAGCATGGGTCCGAAATAGCGAGGTTTGCATTTAGCGTTGGAAGCGGGCTCGATTTTCTTGTTGAGGACGAGGACGAGTGCTCCTGGTGCGAAGTCGTAGTCGTGTATAGTGTTCTTGAAACGTTTTTCGAAGTCACGAATGGAAGAGTATCGAGCTTTCAAAACGCGATCGTGAATGAGTTGCAGGTCTTCATCCCGTTTGGCAAGCTGGCGAGCGCGAATAGCAATAAGGTCGGACGTGCCAACCCGAGTTGAGATCTCAGGAAGGGTGAAGGTGGCCTCGGTGATGTCGAGCGGAAGGAGGGGCTCTGTACCATGAGCCATGTAGAATGGTGAGTACCCGGTAGACTTCCGAGTGGTGACACGATCAGCCCAGAAAACGTGGTGTGCGAGAGTTGGCCACTGAGAGATGTCGCCGTTGCAAGCCTTTACGAGCGAGTCACGGATGGTGCGGTGCGAACGTTCGACGATGCCATTTGCCTTGGAGTTGTATGCCGAAATGCGAATGTGTCGAATGCCGTACTTGTTGGATAACCAATCGAGCGCGGCAACGTAAGGGGTTCCGTTGTCTGTGACAATCTCCTCGATTCCGCCCCAGCGGCAGAGTACTTCTTCGAATAGAAATGCACCGAGCGTGCGTCCGGTTTCAGTTTTGAGTGCGCGAAATTCCGCCCATCCAGTCAAAGAGCAGCGAGCTTGAGTAATATACGAGTACCCGTAGGCTTTGGGCATGTACATCGAGTCGACGTGAGCCTTGCGAAAGAGCGGAGCTGGCATCGAGACGGTAGGCGGAATGACAACGTGTTCAACTGAGCGAGTTTGGCACTGGTGACAAGTCTTGATGTACCAAGCGAGGTCCTTGTCGAGAGAAGTCCACCAGAATCTATCAACGATTGTGCGGCGAGTCGAGTAAAATCCTTTGTGACCAAGGCGATCGTGCATGTCTCGAAGAATGCGAAAGCGATCGGAGGGATAGATGACAAGCTGATGACGGCCGGATGGATCTTTGCGCCAGAGACGATTGTTCGTGACGAAAAAGTGAGATGCGCGCTTGATGAATTGGTGGCGGGCCTTCTCGTCGAGTTCGGGCGGTGTTGTGAGTGTTTGTAAGAAGTTCTTGATGTCATGAAGGTCTTGATTGCGTTGAAGAGTGGTGTTGTCAGTAGGAATGTTGTTGTAGTTGGTCTTCTTCGTCTGCTCGAGCTCCTCCCTCCCCTCACCACTTTCTGCAGTCTGCTGCACTCCTCCAGAGAGGACCAGCCTCTTTTCCTGCTCGGCGACCCCTGCAGCCCAAATCCCACATCCCAGAGCTTCATCAAACCAGTTGTCTACTTCTTCAGGTGAGTCTTCTTCTTCCAAGTCGTCTTCTGGGGCGCGGCGTCGACGCGAGAGGCCGTCTGGCCCTTTGTGCTTGTCAGCAGGGACATGCTTGAGAGTGAAATCGAAAGAAAGGATGGCCGCAATCCAGCGGTTCATGGAGGCGTTGGGTTGAATGTCGGGGTTGTTGAGCATACCCTTGATGTATTTAGCGTCCACTTCCACAGTAAAATTCTTGAGTCCGATGAGCCAAACTTTGCAGGCCTTGAGAGCGCGAGAGAGGCCATAAAGCTCGAGCTTGGATTGCGAGTAACGAGCTTCGCGGTCGTTCCAAGTGATGGACCCGAAGCGTGCGATCCGGCGGCGGCCTTGAGAGTCTAGTTGAGAGAGAACGAAGCCGACCGCGATATTTGAGGAATCAACAGCGAGAATTACATAGCGAGTTGAGTCTTCATTTGCAGCCTTGTAGTCAATGGGTCGGATAGCTTCACATCTTGCTGCCGCTAGCTTTGTGGAGGCCATAGAGTTATATTGAGAAGCTCCCCAGTCAAAGGGAACAGAGACATGAGTGAGGCGTTGAAGGGGATGAGTTAATTCGGTGTAATTGTCGATCCACGAGCGGACAAGACCAGCTGTACCTAGGAAACCTCTGACTTCGGTGCGAGATTCACAAGGAGATGGCCAGTTCAGAATCTTTGAGACGGTTGAGGGATCGGGTAGACGTCCTTCATAGTTACAGAGCTGCCCAAGAATGGTGACTTCAGGCCTTGCAATAAAAAGCTTCTTGGCTGAGACTGTGGCGCCAGCGTGAGTGAGTCGATGAAGAACGCGGTTGACGTCGACTAGGTGCTCGTAGACGAAACGTCGGATACCAGAGTTTTGGGAGATCGTCTCGAAGGAACCGTCGGGGAGCTCGTAGCGCGTGTGAGGGCCATAAACAGAGACGTCGTCCATGAAATTTGGTGCAATATCGATTTCGTCTTGAAGGATGAATGCTACGTCATTTTGAAAAATCGGGGGCGAGCCGGTCCATCCCTGGGGAAGAACAGTGAGCCGCATGGTGCCTAGAGGTGTTTGAAAGGTCGTGAGATCGCGAGACAAGTCGGCGAGCGGGCGGTGATCAAATCCGACGAAGAGGTCCAGCACTGTGTAGATCGAACGGGCTGCAGCTTGCTCGGTGAAGTGGTCGACGTACGGCATTGATGCGGCGTCCTTGACGGTGACAGCGTTGAGGGGTTGAAGGTCGTGTACAAGCCGCAGGTCTCCGTTCTTTTTCGCGACGCAGAACCAACGGGACTGGTATGATGCGTTGGACGGCTCGTAGACGCCGGAGTCGATCTTGTTCTTGATAATATTGATGACTTTCTCGCGGATACCGGGAGGAATGGGCGGTTGACGGTGCATCCAGGGAGTATGTTCGATGGTGGGGATGGTGATGGGCTTGAAGTAATCATCTCGAAATCTGCCTTTCTCTGACTCGTTCCAAGCAAGACCCTTCTCATTGTTGATGAGGACTTGAGCGGCTAGCTTCTGCTCTTCGGGCCACAGAAAATCGCTGTCAAATATTCCGAGCTCGTCCATGCGCTCTTGAGTGAGACGGGTGCCGGGAGAAAAATCGGGAGGGTGCGGAGATAGTTGCGGAAGGCTAGAAAGAGGGTCTTCAGGGAAGCAGCGGACGACACGAGCATCCTCAGGCATGGTAGTTGCAACTGGCTTGACTTTATTTGCAACTTTCTTGTAGGCAAATGTAGCGCGAGAGCGGTCAATGTCGAATGAAGATTCTAAGATAGAATTTGCGAGAGAGGTTGCTGAGAGCTTTGGAAAGGCGGTAGGAGGCAGAACTTCTTGAGGAGAGATATCAAACGAAACTGAAGGAGGGGCCATGGAGAGCTGAGAGACTTTAGAAACCAGAGTGGGTTGCTGAGAGGCTAGAGACGAGAGAAAACATGAAGTGGGCGCTTTCTGAAACGGTCGAGGAGGCGCTTCAACACGTTGAAGGTTTGTGGGGTTGATTGGGTCGTGTATAGTGACATAGACACCTTCGTGTGTTTCTTCTTTCGAGAGGCGAACCAGACGCTGCCACGGGCGGCCTAGAAGTAAGCGATATGGACTGTCAGGGACGACGTATGCATGCGCCCATGTCTTGATGCCTCCGACGTCGATTTCGAGCATCTCTGCGCACCCTGCCATTTCCTGAGTCGTGCCGTTCGCGGTCTGCATAATCATAGTGCGTTCCTTGTTAGCGGGCAGGCCGAGCTTCTGCCAGATGTCTTGGCGGATGACTACAATTTCTGATCCTTCATCAAGCAGGGCGTGTTCCTCGTGCGAGCCGTTGAGGGTGACTCGGAGCTCTCGCAGCGGTGTGGCGTGGTCGACTTGAATGGGTGGGCTAGTGAGTGCAGCAGCGAGCGCCGGTGCAGAGAGCGAGTTTGTTGGAACCCGAGTAGTTCGAGCATGGTCGACAGCAGCTCTCCGAAGCTCTGAGCTGACCGAGAGCAATTCTCCGACAGTGACGTTTGGGACAGGCGAGTTGAGGATACGCTTGAAAATACGATCCGGTGCGTCAGCGTCAATAGCCTTTGACTCGTAGGTGTACGCGGGGGCTCGAGCGTTCGATGCAGGAGTTGGAGTAGCCTTGGTGACCTGCTGAGAGCTATCTTCTTCTTCTTCTTCAACCCTGGCCTTGAATTTCCCGGAGTTCTTCACCGCTTCTTTTCCTACCGACGAACCCTTAGCTTCTTCTTCCCTAGCCTTGCCCTTAGAACGAGTGATAGCTGCCGTGGTCGCTTCATCAGTTTCGAGAGAGTCGGTTACAAAGGCATGGTTTTCAGCGATTGGTGCACACTGAAGAAACCAAGAGTTGGAGATACGAGTGCTGGAATCTGACTGGTGAGGTGGCGAATCTCGGAGAGGGCCATTATAGTGAGCATCCACAGAGACTTTGAGACCAGCAGAGGAATCAGTGGGCCTAGCAATCCGAGATCCATCCGGGTAAATGAGGAACCGTCCAGCGCGAATGAGCCTGTTAGCCTTGATGTACCGCTCAACGTGAGGACAGTCTGAGATGCGGTGGGATTTATCCGCACAAAAATAGCAAGAGAATGGCGGTGGATTGCCGTAGGCAGACGTTTGGTTGACCTGGGCTTGCTGTCGCTTTGCGGGAGCCATCCAGGCTGAGGCGGCAGTCGGAGAGATCGTGAGGAGCCGTGTATAACAGACTGAGTAGTTAACGTCGTGTACATCAAGAGAGTGCAATTTGCGGGCAAGGTCTTCGACTTCATCAACGCTCGAGCGCGTGTTAGCATTGTCAAAGCGAACGGTGCGCGTCTGGATTTCCTGAGCTGCTGACGAGCGCCGAGCGCGTGGATTATCGTCGTCCGAGTCGTCTGAGTCGTAGTGCTCGTGGTGCCGAGATGACTTGGCACGGCTAGGCGTGCGCGTTTCCTTGTAGGATTGAATGCGAATGGCGATGGGGTCATTTAGATCGGCATCGAAAGCGTCTTCAGAGAAAACAAATCGGCCGGCAGTCATGACGGCCTCGTAGTCGGGGCACTCATCACGAGAGTACTTCTCATCGGTGCGCTCGAGTCGACGATCGATGGCGCGCCTAGCAGCGCTCGGGAGACCTCGCCAGAAATAATTGTTGCGCTCGCGAATAGAGATCTTGTTGTTCTTGAGGAGCCATGTCGAAATCGGACGGAAGGCACGATAATATTGAGAGAGGTCAGATTCGGTTGAGATGGTGCGTTCCGAGTAGCTGCCAGCGATGCGATCGAGGTCCCTGATAGTATACTTGGTGCCTTTGCTAGCTCCGGGATATTGAGCAAGGATACTAGCCTTGAGAGTAGCGTAGTCCCGCGAGTCGAAGCCGTCTAGAGTGGTCCAAAAGCGCTTGGTGGTCACATCGGCGTAGCGTACGAGCATCTTGCAACGTTCCGAGTCGGTGAGGCTGTTTCCATCGGCGAGGTCCTCGAAGTACTCGAAGAACTCCAGCAATTGAGAGGTTTCGCCGTCGAAGGAGGGTGCTTTATTGGAAAACGGGCCGGGCATGGACGATATACCTTTGGATAAAGACGGTGCCATAGTAGAATGTGACGGGGAATTAATGGTGTGATTTAAATGAGGAGCGGACGCGATAGATAACGGAGACGGCGAGATGGGTGTTGAAGGTGCAGTGCGAAACGAGGCAAGGGGAGTATTAAAAATTCGAGATGTATGACGAGGGGTTTCGGGGAGTACGGTGAGAGGCGAATCGATGTTCTGGTACTGCGTTGGGGTGTCGATGTCTTCTGTGGGTTCGCCGGGATGCGAGTCTTTAGCTTGGTTCTGAGTTTCGATGGGTTCTGTTGCGTGAGGTTCGATGTGTTCTTCGTGGTCGCCGAGATGCGAATGTAACGGTGTGTCGGGTGTATGCGATGTTTCGATTTCTTGTTCGGTGTCAAGATGACCGGGGAGATGTGCTTGTAACGGGGAGTTTGAAGTGTCTTGTGGCTGATACGAGAGTGAACTTAGATGCCGGCGCAAGCGGCGAGGTCCGTTGACTGAGTCTTGAGCAAATAGGCGTCCGCGTCGTTCAGCGTCCGAGATCTCCTGCTCGTGTCGGGAGAGCTGGGGGATACGCGAAGTATAGTAGTATTTGTTGGGAATGATGAATGGTGTAGAAAGGGGAGGCACTTAATGAAAGTAGCCTAATCCCCTCGCGGTGGGCTCCAATATGTGGGGAGTCGAGCCGTTCAGTGGCTGGACGAAGTAGATACGAGTTCGAAGGGGAATAGGAACAGAGAGTGCCGAAGAAGTAAAGAATACGAGTGGGAATTGAGACTCGGACTGAACTCGAGTTTGAGAGGGAAACTGGGGCTGAATTCAATGCAGACTAGCTACGACAGGATGCTGTATTTATACGTTTTCGAGACGAGGTATGAGTAAGAGAAATTACGAGTCAAAACGAACGCGTGTACATGAGGTTTGCAGTGAGTGTTAGCGATAAGGAGAGACCGTGAAAAGAAGACAAAAGCATCTAGGCACAGATCTAGCTGCGCGTACGGGTCGGAAGTCCAAGCGAGGTGTCGAGGCCGGAGGGACAATGAGAGACAAAGCGTATGACGCAGATGGTCGTCGATATCGATCAGGGTTGAGTCGAAGCGGGCGGGTCGAAGTGTGGCGAAAGGTGTCGAAGCGGTCGAGATGTGGCGCAGGTGG